TTTCTGGGGAAAGTGCTGTCATTCTCCTCATCCGAATCGTATTCCTCGTCCTGGACGCGGTCGTCCTCGATCTCTTCCTCCTCCTCTTCCTCCTCCTCTTCCTCTTCCTCGATAGGAGCATCCTCCATAGTCAAGTCTCCAAACGAGTCGAGCACATACTCGCGTTCCTTGTCCTGCATCTTGGTCCACTTGGTCTCGTTGAGCTTCTCCCAGATAGCTTGCATGATGGCCTCCTGGAACGTCTCCAGAGTTGACTGGTCCTTGAACCGGAGAAGCCAGGATCGAGCCGTGCCATCGTTGCTAAAGTGGTTGAAAACGAAGGAGAGATACTCGAAATCGAAGACAGGATTGAAGTCCGCAACGACTGGGGTGCCCAACCAGGGCTTCTCGGTGGATTCGATCTGAAGCCAGTATTCCCACTTGCCGACTTCAGAGACTGTAGCGATGACGGAGTCATCAACAAGAACGAAGTGGCCGGGCTGAGGGTCAAAGAGATGGAGCTCGGCAGTAATGGCAGCATAAATCTCCAGAGCTTCAGGAGGGTTGTTTGCGTCCGGGCCACTCAAGACGGGGGCCTCAATCTCCTGCTCTGGAACATGGGCAGGCTCGCGCTTGGCGGCCGAGTTGGCGGTATTCTTCTTGGACAGCATATCGTCGACAGACTCGATAGATCGGGCGAGGGTAGGACTGTGGATGGGACTGGCGGGTGGAATAGGCTCTTCCTCCTCAAACTCGAACTGCTGCAAGTCTTGCTGCGAAGCGGTGGTATGGGGCTTTCGGTACTTGCGCTCGTACTGGCACTGCTGAGATACTCGCATAAACTGCGTGACCTGAGCCGAGGTGACGGAGTTGTCGCAAACGAATTGGTAGAGGTCACCGGTGTCGCCACTGAGATCCTTCCAAGCTAGGACCTTGTCGCCGTTCTCTCGGATCTCGACTCGGAAGTGGAGGGCCTCGTCGAGGAGAAAGGTCTTTTCGTCTCCCTCGGATTCGAGGGCGTCGAGCGCGGCGTCTTCGCCTTCTTCCTCAGCAAGGAGCTCCGCTTCGCCTTCCTCAAAGACACGCTGAACGGTAAGTTGGTATTGGTAGTCTTGGTTGGTGCGACGGATACGGATGGTGGAATCTTTAAAGATGAGCTCGGAGTAGCCCTTGGGCGACAGAGGGCGGACGAGGTAGAGTTGGCCTTGGGGCAGCTCGATCAGTGCTTCCTGTGTGCTTGAACCAAAGATGAGCTTGCCGACTGTAAGGCGCGACGTGTTAGTTATATGTCTTGTTGATAAGCGATAGAAACACTGTCAACGAAATGGGGAAGGGCGAACAGGTGGAATGAAAGGGAAGTGGCAGATGAAGCGACCAGCCGTGACCAGGTCGGGATATCAGCCAGTGGCCTTTGTGCCCGTGCTGGAGAAGCGGGTGTTGGTTGGGGATGATGCGGGGCAGTTACTTACCATTCCGTAGAACAAACATGCTGGCTAAGATGGCGGTCTTGACACAGATAGGGAAAGAGTGTGCAATATGCTGACAAGCTCCCGGTCAAGAGGGATACGCCCAAGTATGGAAGGGAGAGAAGAGAAGGGGATAGACTATTAAGAAGGAGAAAGAGTTGGTGATGCCGTTCACTTGCGCACGAACAGCCAAAAGGGTGTGACGTGACTGACGACAAGGCAGTGACAGGCAGGCAGGCGAGACCGACAGGTTCAGGTTCCTTCCTGGGTTGGCTGTAAGGCAGGCGCAGGCAGCCTCTGGGCCAAAGAGAACGCCGGATGGGAAGGTGGCAATGATAGCCTGGGCAAGATCAAAGGGTTAGAGCGTGCGGCAGGAGACAGCGTGCGTCATAACAACCTTGAACTTTTAGGATGGGAAGCAACTGCAAGCCGCGGCTGCCCTTTTTTTTTGTGTACTTTTCCCTCTAGCTCGTTGACTTCCCTGGTTGGAGGGGTGAAGGAGGGGTCGTTTTCGCCACAGACTGACGTGCGCCACCGGCAGAGAGGTGGTGCGCCACACTTGAGATCTCAACTTTGGTGACAATGACGTTGCCCGGCTGATGCACTTGTGTTTGATGATGACAGGGGTTGGTAGTCCCTTGTTTCATGTTTAAAAGAACTCTGGGCAATGATTTTCACTGATAACGTTGGTTCTGTTTGCGTACAAAAATTCACACTTTCTCAATGATTGCTTACAAGATACGGTAGTTGAGTTCAACCTAGAGAGGTGCCCTGCTTCATGCAGGCTGCCTCCAAGCATAGTAGTGCCGAGTTATGCAGCATGTACCCAAACACTCACGGCATCAATCACATAACACATGAAACAAATCTGTTCAGCCCAATCAGAGCTCTCCCTGGGGCTGCGCATGAATGCCCTCTGCCTCCTCTGCAACCGGGACTGGCTCGCCAGCGTTCGAGCCAGGGGCCACCTTTTCTGGGCGGGTAATGCCAGCAAAGTCGTCTGCAACCAGACGGGCCACATTCTTACCCATCAAGGCGCTCGTCTCCATGGTGGAGATGAAACTCTCGATGCCAGACGTGTAGTACACTCCATCACCCACGATGGGGTCTTCGAACGTGACACGCGGCAGCTCTTGGGGATAGGAATAAAAGACGTGAGGGTAGTACCATGAGATAGGCTCAAAGGTATCAGCATCCTTATCCTCGCTCTTGGCGGACACAAACTCGTCAGGAATCTTAGTACCGAGAAGCGAGGACAAGAACTCAGCCGTCACTGGCTCAGGGGAGAAGATCTTGTACGCATACTCCAGCTTTTCGGTCTTGGGGTTGATGACAGACTTCAGGGTGCTGACCGAATAGAACCCGGTGCTGCCAACGCCCTCAGCACCCTTCTTAGGCTCCTCGTCTTCACGGAGAGTGGTGTAGACGCTGCTGGGAGCCTTGCTTCCGGGCTTGAGGCCAAAGAACTCGGGGCTGAGCTTAAGTGGTGATGTGAAAAGTGTCACATGGAGCTTGGTGTAAGGGATCTCATCGATTTGGCGATCAAGGACACCTTCACCGGCCTTGATGTTGCCAAATTGCCAGGGGTTTGCGAGGATGATGTTGTCAAAGGCAACTCCGTACTCCTCAGGAGTGGCCTCCTGGGAGTTTGCATCTTTAGTCGAGATGGCATACTTGGGTGACGAGGCCTCCGTCTTCTTTTGAGCCGCTTCGATAGAGGCTACAGTCGTGTTGCGGTAGATGGTAGAACCACTGGCTCGTACCAGCTCCTCAAAGATCCGCCAGTTTCCGGTCTCGACGGACACGGCACCGTCAGTGGCAAAAGAAACCTGGCTCGTTGTAAGCGTTGGATACCACACAAGCGGACTATCCTACATACCAGAGTTTCAAGACCATGAATGTAGGCCAAGTTGGATGCGTAGTTGACTCGCGTGGCGGCCTGGAGAATCTCACGACTAAAGCGAGGATTGATATCCTTATAGGTTAGCAGCGGCTGGGTTCAAGTCACCAGAGAACTCACCCATTCTGCCAGCCCCTGCTCTCCAGTGATACCCGTAAGCTCTGTCATGCCCATCTCTTGCGCCCTCTGAGTCAACGACTTGAAAGGAAAGTAGGGAGGCTCATAGAGCTGGAGGAATTGCTCCAACATGCTGTCGACAATCTTCTTGGCCTTGTAAGGCGCGAGGCCGTACTTCCAGAACAGCTTGGCAAGGTCCCACCATTGAGAGGAACCCTCTTCAGTCTGATACACAAAGTTGATTCCATCCCAGATGGCCGTGATGTCGCCCTTCTCGAGTCGTTGAGGTTCGCTCACGGGGAGCTGGAAGCGCTCAGTCGCGTTGTACAGGATGGCGTTGACACCGACGAAGATTGACGCGCCGAGTTCAATTGGTAGAGACTCATTACCATAGGCCGGGACCGTAAGAGATCGACCTCCGATGCGGTCCGTCTTTTCAAAGATGGTGATATTGACGGCGAGGTTCTCTTCCTCGGCATATCTCTGTAAGTAATAGGCCGCCGAGGATCCCGCGGCTCCCGCTCCTACAGCTCATGTCAGCTGGGCTTCAACAAGCCGCGAGACGAGATGGGGCTGGTATAAGAGAGCACATCTCAATGCCCTAAGTGTGAGCTTAATATCGATGAAAAGTGTTACGAACCGATGATAGCAACATTCTTGACTTCTTGGGCCCCAGTCGAACCACGGACAAGCGCGGTGAGAACGGCCAAACGCGAACTCCACGAAAGACGCATCTTGCTAGATAGAATTCAACCAAGACAGATACAGGTGATGATGTTGATGATGCCCAAAAGAAACACAATTCAAGAATGAAGTGAAGCGTGTTCAATGTGACATTCGTTACCTGGACAATGACGTGGAAGCGGCCGGATGTGAGGTGCGACGACTCTCACGTGACATCAGAATGTCCTGTTGAGGCCAACGACACGTACGAGTGCAGCCATGGGTTGATTCGACTCGGCTGGGATGAAGTCGGGTATTAGGCTTGTTATGTGATCTTTGTATCCCTGATGGCTACAAAAACAATTGGACAGGTAACATTCCGTAAACCTCCTAGGAGCAATTGCTACTATAACCAACAAAACCATGAGGGAAGAATTCAACAAGTCACCCATGAAACAAGAAGACATGCTTCTAGATCTTTACAAATTTCATTTGGTATCTCAACTATATAAACACTCCAAGCCTATCAGTATCAATACTCGCGGGATCCTGAACATAATCCATACTGAGGCCCTCGCTTTTGTGCGCAACCGCTCATTCGCAATAGGTTATTCCGGGGAATCATGGTCCTTCCTCTTGTAACGCCAAGCTAAATGCATACGGGCTATCCCAAGCCCCTGAAGAAAAACAAATCCATGACCAGAAACTGGGGTCATATCAAACTGGTTAAAAGAAATCTGTTGTGGTTCATTAGGGAGAAGGTGAACTGGAACCTCCATCTCCGCTATCCATCCTCCATGAAATCGTCAAAACGTATAACTTGATTGGTGTAATAAATAACAAGGGTTTTGTGTGATTTACGAGGCGTCATCTTCCTCGTCGCTACTGCTGAGGCCACTCCCGACGGCGCCGGCGGTAGCGATTGAACTGTCCTGACTCGAGAGAGCAGGATCTGCGCTGGTGCTCTTACTTTCCCCACGAGCGGTTCCAGCGGCGGCAGCAGCACTACTTGTGCGTCTAACAGTCTGCCTAGGTCGGTTCGGTAGCACCTTGGCATCTCGGCTGACATCGTATATGTTGTGATCGGGAGAGTCGTCAGGGTCGTCGCCCTCCTCGTCACCGCTGCTGAGATCAACACCATCAGGATAACCATCAGAATGATGTGGAACGATTCGTCGACCCACAATGCCCCTCAGTGATGGCGAATCATCTGGGTCATCTGAGGTTTCCCCATCCTCGTCTGTCGTCGAGTCGCTGGCACTGAACGGTGGGAAAAAGATGGCAGGGGGTGGGAGGGCAACCGGCGTTAGTCTCTTGATGCGGCCCGACAGGTATTCGATCTCGATGGGAGGAGGTTCGCTGACGGACATGGTCTTGGTTGCACCAAGGACTGGTGATGAAGTCGACATTGTTGCCAGTCGACGAATGATGCTATCTGTACCTTCGCTCACCCTTCGGCCGTCGGGCCGTGAGGTTGGTGGTAGAATATCTTGCTTTGACCTCTTGGTGGCAACTACTACCATGAAGTGGTCCTCGGGGAGAACTCCTCCCAAGCCACAAGGCTCGAGAGGATGATACTCCATGTATTGGGCATTATCGGTCCATTCAAAGTCAAGCTCGATGTCGCTCACATCGTCCGTGTCCTCTGTGAGGCTGGGCGGATCATCCATGTCAACATCCATTGCCGGGTTTGGCTGGGTCGACAACGGACCACGATCGGTCAGTGGCCGATAGTTGACGAAAGACCCCGAGTTTGATCGTCGCGGTGGAGACATAGGAAGCTGTGTCTTATCTGACGAGGCCTGGTGCTGGCTAGCAGCCAGCATTTGTGAAGTTGGTGACATGTCGCCTGGATCGCCCGATAGATCTGTACAGAATGGCGCTCCGCTATAGTAAATGATGGCACCATCATGGCGGCGCTTCTTGCGACTGGATGCACCAGAACCACTGAGACCCCATCTCGACTCTCCAATGTTGCTGTCTTCTGGGGGTCCGAAGGAGGAAACGGTCTCATCAAGCGAGGTCTGTCCACCTGAAGAGTCTTGCTGTATAAACATGGGCTTGTAGTGAAAGCTTTCGGATGGAGCGCATAGCTGTGGATCAAACCTGGACGCGTTCTTGCTCGAGCTTCCAGATTGAAACTCATCACCAGTCGAGCGTCCTGTTTTCTGACGCTTGTGCTTCTTTTCCGAACCCTCCTCCGCATCATCTGTAGACGGGCTCTTTTGGGAGTTGTACCCGGAACTGTCGCTGCTGAACCTGGTTCCCTCAGTTCCACCTCGCCATCGGATTTTGCGGCCATCAGGAGACAACTGGAACTTGGTGCTGATCCCCGAAACAGCTGAGCGGACAAAGTCTGGTGTCACGTTGATCATGTGAAGCTGAGCCAGGTTGCAAAGCAGGTTCAGATAAACCCAGCCCTCAGCGTCAGGGTGGACATCATTGCTGTGCTGCTCGGCCAATAGCTCGGGGGGCACCAAGCCCAAATGGCGAATGTAGTCCATATTTTCGGCTGGAACCTGAGTACGGTCCGGGTCGAGATCGAGGGGTCGTGTGGGTCGCTGTTCCGGAGGAGGTCGCGTTGGAGGTGATGGATTTGTCCCGGAGCCAGTGCTGTTGCCATTGCCTCCGGATTCCGTGTTGTCTCCGTTCGAGTTGGATGCCGATCCATTGCCGCCAGATCTGCTCTTCTTGCCAGAGTGTCCGGATTGTTGCTCAAGAGGGAGAATCCTAGCTTCTCGCGATGGCTCCTGGCTAGTCTGGAGGGCTGGCGGTTCATGAACTATGGATGCTGATGAGACATTCGGCTGGGTATCCGCAACGACGGGCGCTAGGGCAGCAGAGTTTCCACTCGGTGCTGAGGACTGTTTCTTCACCACGTGACGGCCACTGATCTTTCCTGTGAACAATTGCTCAAGCCGACGGACAACAAGCTTCTTCCTATCCTTGTCCGTCATGATCATGTGTCGCGGATACAAGCCTTCAGGAATATCGCGCAGGTAGCTCTCGACCTTTTGCTCCGATGACCTGGCCTGCGAGCCCATGATAGGGCGATTCATCGACGTTCCTGAGGACTTGGCGCCTGTTGACATGGATGCATAGGCCGAGTCAGCTGGGCGAAAGTTGGATCCCGAGGATGACGATGCGTGCTTGGAGAACGATCCAGAAGCAGAATACATGTTGTCTCGAGTCTGGTGGCGAGACGACTTCTTTTTCTTCTGCGACGACGACGTATCGGGAGACCCCTCAAGGCTGGCAGCAAAGTCCCTGAGGGTGGCCTCGAGTTCTCTCTTCTTCTTCTTGGGCAAACCATGGACCTTGATCTCAAATAGCTTCTCCTTCCGAAGCAGATCTGGGCCAGGTTGCTTGTACCGTTTGAGCTCTTCTCGAAGTTTCTGAATTTCTACCGTCAGGTCATCAATGACACTGCGATAGTCATCTGCGCTGCTGCTCTGCGCCGTAGTGAGCTTTGGAGGCGCCAGTTGGTGGGTGTATGGAAACGGCTTTTCTTCATTCGACGAGTCGGATTCTTTTTGGAAGAAAGGAGGATCAACTATAAATCAATTAGCCTCTCTCCATAATGCAACCTGGATCATTTCTGCTGCATACCATCCATAATGTTGCTGTCGAAAGTGGCAGTTGGGTTCTGGTTTGAGTGGTCAAACCACGTCGTCGGATCGCTTTGCCCAGTCTCATGGCTGTCACCTGACGAATTACGACGAGGAGAAGTTGTCGTCGTTGTCACGACCGGCGGCGCTGATCCTGGGCTGGCTTTAAGAGAAGCATCGCGGGCTAATCGGTGGTGTCGTAGTGTGACGGAATTGGCTGGCGAGGTTCGTCGGGGGAGAGGGTGGCCGGTCTTGGATGACGGCGGCGGTTGGGTTCCCTGCGAAGCGATTTCGTTCGGGGGCATTGTTACTCATGTACAGTAACGATGAATTGATGATGGATTCTTTAGCATTGCTTAGACGTCAAGACGTCGAGCATGTCGAGAGAAATGGTTGTCGAGACCGGGTTGTGGTATAAATCCCAGGGTCCGGCGATCTGTGACGTAGGGTCTAGAATCACCTTACAGTGGGTAATAAGCCTGGGTCGGAAGACAGCCGTTAGCACAATGAACAGCATCAGAAAAACGAATAAAAGGATGGCCTTGTCGGGAGGTGCGAGCAATGAAGGCTCTCGCGAGGCATAGAGGGGAGCTGCTATTGGTTGCCGTGTGGCCACCGATCGATCGATCGATGCTTCATCGCCATATGACGAAAGGTGATGAGAGGAGGTAACACACGCTCAATGGGGAAAACACCGGGTGTTCCTAGGACACTCACCTCAGGTAAAATGCACTCCACACAAGCGAAACCTTGGGTAAGTGATTCTATCAAGTTGTTGGGGAGCTTCTTCCAATTCCGAGGAAATTTGGTGATATTTGACAGGTGAAGCGATTCCTTGATTTGGCGCGGTAGTTCGGTCAAAAGGCGTGGGGTGGGATATCCTCCCCACAACCAAGTTTGGGCTTGGGCCGCGAAAAGACGTCGCAACAACTCTGCGATCCGGGTCCGCAATCGATGGACGACCCTGACGTTGGTGGGATTCGGCTTGCTGCAGATCCGTAGTCAAGCGCGAAAGGGTGACAGGGCTACTCGAGGTGGATGGTATTGATCAGTCGCGTCGAGTCAAATGTTCGCCTAGTCCTGTCGCAGTGGCCGCGAGAGTTACTGGCTTGGCGAGCTGAAGAAATCCGTCTGCGTGCGTTGGCCGGCTGAAGCTGAGGATTGAATTGCGCGCCGAAGCTGTTCCAGAGGTCCAGAGAGGGGTTCGCGTACTTCGGTGCCAAGCTGGAGTGAGGCTGGGCCTGTTGTCGTGGAAAATTGTCGTTGAAAATCGTCGTGCGAGAGTGGTAGAGAACTATATCGAATCCGTGGAAAGACCGGCAGACGTGAAGGGGTATATGAATGGAAGGAAGAGTGGTGGAGAAGCGGTATTCCAACGGTCGATATAAGAAGACCAGGGTACTCCGTGGAGGTCACTCAGGGTGGCACCGAGGTGGCACTGAAGCTGGTGGGTGGGATGGATGGCTAGAACGAGGAGGACCAGGAAAACAACCGCTAAGTACTGTTGCACGGCGGAAGAAGGGAGAAAATGGTGGGGGAGTAACAGCAAGGTCAATGTGAGCTTGAAGAGGCTTAATAACAGTGTTGACAGAGGAGAGAACACAAGCCACAGGTCTGAGTAGGAGTCGAGAACAGATACTTGACGATCACGGCCAGGTACAGTAGGAGATGGATGGCGACTCCGGCAGGGAGGCAAAGTGGACAGTGGCAGTGGGCAGTGGTGGGTAGGACTGTGGAAGGGGAGGAAGAGGGCATTCAGGGCCTCCACAACAAAAGACATTGACCGCACGAGAATTTGCTCGCCCTGTCCCCGTGCAAACTTGGCCTCCATCCAAAAAAACAAGGTACGGCAAGGTCGCTGCCGCCGTCAGGGCACCCGAGTCCCGGGGCGCGGCGGCGGTGCGGTATCGCGAGCCAGCCAGGCGGCCAAGGGCTGGGGATTTGGGATTTGCCAGGTTGGGACGAGCCTGCAAGAGCTACAGGAGAAAGGTAGATCGAACGCTCATTGCTCCGATTTCCAAGGTGCTGGAGAAACAGAGAGATCAGAGACCATCGGGTCTAGAAAAGGCCAAAAGCAGGGACCTCCTCTGACGGGCTGTACTAGCGTGCATGCGCACCGACTTGTGTCATGCGCCCACACCCTGGCATTGATAGATGCCGTCGGGAATGCCCTCAATCCGTAACCAGCCTGGCGCCCTCACGCATGTGAAAAGCAAACGAGACATGGGAACGGCAAAGAGAGGTCATCTAAGTCTGCTTAGGTATTATAGACAGATTTATGAAATGGAGAGAAGCCTATTACAAAAACAAGGAAAACTTCTTATTTAATATAAATTTCATATGAACTTTTACCATTTCTTAGGGGAGAATTACACAAGCGTCTCTTTTTTCCTTGACCGACCTCCATGCGTGGCCGGCAGCAGCCGTCAGAGTGGCCGTTGTCCGATATACAGCCACACCCTGGGCCTTGTCAGCTCGCCTACGCCCCGAGTGCGGGGACTAGCAGCCCAGTTCTTAACCAATCACACATGAGCACTCGCGAGGAACGGGCTACTGTAACCCTGCCAGGAGCACTCGAAGCAGGGCCTTGCTGATCTTGGTTTTGGTAGGTCATCGGCTTGCTGACCTCAGGCAGGTGCTCCCACAGGTTCGCTTGCACCTGTCAAAGTCTCGCGGACGCTGTGGGAGTTAACCGGAGCCCCGTACTGTGACAGCGAGCTCGCTCGGCATCTAGGTTGACTACTGACCTTACGTACTCCTCAAAAGATCAAGGGTTCCATTGCTCCTTCATCGCATCAGTGTCTTTCCATTCAATCAACAGAAGCCTCACTTTCGTCCTGTCTTGCATCCAACTCTCGGTGGTACTCATCCTACCGCTTCTTCCATGCTGCTCGCTACCTGTCCATGGCCCCATTCTTACGTCAAACCGCAGACTCATTCTGGGTTGCAACCCTCGAACCCTTGCCGGTTGCTCCCACGCAACCGACATAAGGAACCAGACTAAAAGTGATGAGGATGATACCCTGTGGCTGTCCACCCACCTCTGCGAGGCAATTGATCGTCAGTCACCGCAACGGCAGTCGGGATATTTTGGCCCCCCTACCTCCGCATCATCTGGATACGAGAGGAAACACGCCTGCATCAACTGTCAATCTCTGCCAGTCTCTTGACCAGGAACGGGCATGAATTGCCTGACCCTGGGCTTGGGAGAGTCTTGCTAGAACGTGCCTCTCAGCCCTCCAGCAACATCCTGTACGCAACACAGAACAGTCTCATGATGCTCTTTCGATGGCTAGGCTCTGACAAGCCTTGTTTCGGGGAGTCGGCCATGCAGGCAGGGCGGTGTCACACACGGGACCTGTCGGCCACGCGTATTGCTGGAAACCCTTACGTCCGTGAACTCTCTTTCCAAGTTTCTCGCTCTGGTGCCCTGGCATGTTTTATTAAGAGATGGCACAAGAGGCCTTTCGGTGGAGTTGGTAACATGATCTGCGAATCCAACGAGGTCCGCTCAGCTCAGGCTTTACCAGACCTGTCATCAATCCACCAACTGAGGCTCTGCGCCTTGCAGATCACTTCCCTCGAACGGCCACACCATGACGTCGAACCCGGGGTGCAAACTCAGGGTCCTCGCGTGCCTAGCATCGCCAGGCCCTGCTTGGTGATTGTTCGAGCACTTTCCATGGAGCAGATCTCGATTCACTTGACCGCGAGAGACAGAGCAAGGAAAGATGCCCAAGACATTGATGCCATGATTATCAGGTGTAAAAGATTGCTTGAGAGTTGGTCTCATAAAGCTCTTAATACCGACGATTTTCCGCCTAGAGCCCCTGACTGATCTGCTACACCAGAATCTACATCTAAGCGCCAGGCCCCACGATCATGAATCTGGACATACACCCAAGACTTCTTTTCTTTTTTTCACTCAGTGGCAACAATTTCCGGGTTTCCAGACAAAAGATATCTAATCCCGGAACCAAAACACCGTCTGCTCAAGTGGCAACGGACCCTGCACGCATGCTTTGCCACGCTTCGTTGGATCTAAGCGAACAGGCGCACTCTCATTGGATGACTTGGCGCTCCGATTTTGCCAGACTAGCTCACGATCTCGAAGAAGCGCGTTGGTAGCTGAGATCGAAGCTTGTCGGGAGGACCCTTCGTGCAGCTTGTGGCTGGAGAACTGGTTGTTCTTGGACCAAGATGGCTAGGGTCTGTCGGCAAGATACGATGTTTCCACGTTCGTGGGACACTGAGGACCTCTTGGAAGCTCAGATCTTGCATCCTATGTCGATCATTGTCCTCTGAAACGCCCAAGAGCTTCTCTTTCGGAGACTTTACCTCCTTTTGCTCCCCACCCACACCCGACGATTCCTCAGCTGCACATGGCACCTTCGAGATTCCCATGGTGATGGCCCGTCTACCGTCGAGATACCTCATTTGGCCACCCGTTGGCTCGGTAGTGGCGAGCGGACCGCCCGGTGGACTCACCCGGCTGTGCCACACCTCCTGAAGCCAGGTACGGCATGGTGTTGCGGCCAATTGCTCACAGGGAGCAGGGAGCAGGGAGCATGGATCTTGGAACTGGGTTGCATCTTTGTGCCACATCCCAAAGAGAGTTGATGATCTCCCGTGTTCCCTTGAGATCGGCTATCGTTTGTCAGTTTGGCGCAGAAAATTCGGACGGGTGGGGAGACACAGCCCGTGATACCCAGGCGCCCTGGAATAGCTTACGGGACGGCCCCATGAAGCTAAGATTTGGGCATCTACGGCACAGCACGCGATCGTTGAGACCGTCAGCGCGGATGGGGGTTTCCCGCCTTGGCCCGCGATCTGTAGAACGCAGCCTACAGAACCTTAGCTTTGCACCCTCAGCCTTGGCAGGTTTATTGAAGGGATTTAGGTGCGCAGAGTCAAGGACTTCGAGACCTCGGGTCCAGAACCTTTCCCTTGCACACCCCCTCCCGATCAACGGGTTGATCAACCTCCACGTCCATTGTCGCAGCCCTATCGCGGGGAGACTCTGGCATCAACACATCAACACCAACGCACACGAATCTCGGGAGACATCTCCATCAGCTGGCTTGTTCTCTTTCACTAGCCCCATCTCCAAGCCCACCCGTTGCCCCATGCCCCTCTAGCTCCCGCATCTCACCTTGGATCAAGACCCCGGCAGCCCGGAGGTCCCGCTCCGGCATGCATGAGACCGGGTCTGGTCTGGCTGAGCCCCCTGGTGGATGGCTTGAACAGCCATGTGGCTGCCCCTGGATGATTGTTGACCTCGGGGGAGAGGGGTGTGCTTGAGAGT